ATCATATACTATGGATCAGAAATATCAAAATTAAAACATACTGTGGTTGCCAAAGCCAAGTCTTGGTTTCTAAAAATGCTCAGTACAGTATTTAGATATTTTTAAAACTGTCCTCCTAGATCACACTAGTCTCCTCAATCCATTTTTAACCTTTGCGAGATGCCCCAAGGAGCCATTCTGTAGGTCAATGTAGTTATCTTCCATATGTGCCTACCACTCCAACCAGCCATTAGCTCTTCATCATAATTCTTCTCCATCCATTAATTTATCTAAAACTTACCACCTTATCCTAATTGTACAGGACCCCATTTTAAATATTTGAATTTAAATGCTTCAGAGTATCTTAGGGTTCCAAGTATTTTAAATAAGCTTCGACAGTAAAATCCAATTTATCATTTAAAACAAGTTTGTACTGGAGTTTGTCTTCTTTGTTTCCTTTGTTTTCTAAGTATCACGTTTATACCTTAAATAGTGTACAGGACTGTATTCTGGATGCTCTAGTGCTGTGTGACCTTGAATACATTGTGTAACCAATTGGAGGTCTGATTTTCTCATAAAAAACATGTTTAGTGTATGTCCTGGGTTTCAAAGTTTAAGTGAAAAGTGGATATAAAAGTGCTTAGAAATATTGTTTGACCTTTATTATCCCAGGTCTGATTTTCATATTGCTATAATAAAGGATTTGCTCTAGATTTTCAGTTAAGTACCTTTCTACACTAAACATTCTTTGAGTCCTCATTAGCACCATGGTAACTATAAGACAATATGAAGGTGTCTTCCATTTATAATCGGTTTTACTTATTTATTTTTCAAGAGCATGTGCTGGCAAATGTGTTCTTAAATATATTTTATTAGTTTGGACTAATACATTCTCACATTACAAAGGCAATTTAGTACAAGAATCTTTTTTTGATATTTGAATCTTAAATATATTTTTAAAAATATAATAAAGCAAACCTATTTCATAATATAATGCAAGGTAGAAAAAATATGGACAAGTTTTTAAGTTGGCGGCACAAGTGAAAACCTTCAAAACTATCATTAAGGGAATAGAAGCTTGGTGTACATAAGTACCTATCTTGAATTTCTGATGAAGGTGACAAGTCACCTGTTGCCTAACTAGATAAGTAAATGCACCTGAAATATGGCAAAAAGAAAACATTGCTTAAGCATTCTGAGATTCTCAACCAAAGTACCAATCATGTTTTCATGTAAGAGACACAGAGGTAATAAACCGATAGCCCTTGGTTCTATCTAGTTAAATGTTTTGCTGGCTTGCTAAATGCTTAAAAATTATTTGAACCAATGTTTAAAAAGCAGGATATGTTACCTAAAGTCCAAATTTCAGCTCCTCTTGACACATATGGCAACATGAGGCCCATATTCCCACATGGCAAAATTAGCTAGAGCTGGGAAGTGATGCCCCATTTAGATGAGCATGGGGAGTTCTCTAGTTTCCACTATAGTGTATTGTTTCTCCTTACCTTACCGTAAGCCAGCAGCTACAGGCATGTGATTTTGCAACTTCAGTAAAATACAGAGCCACTGCAACATATATGCCAAACTGTCCTATTTTATAATTAATGTGTATTAAGAAGCAAAAAATACAATCTGGGAACTGAGGGAGACATCAGAAGCAATCCTGTTTATGTAAAAGACAGGACATTTTTCTTTTGTGAATATTTAATGTTAGTTCCCTTTAAGTCAGGGGTGGGGAATCTTTTTTCTGCCAAGGGCCATTTGTATATTCATAACATCATTCACTTAACATATATTTATGTTGCTATGAAAAAAGCTCCTAGATTTAATGAATTTGGAGTCCTGCCTGTGGTTGCCTTCACAGGGCCAGACCAAATGATTTCACAGGCCTTATTTGGCCCCACTCCTGCTTTAAGTAAATTCAATCTGGCTAGTTCAGGTTGTGGATGGGGGTAACAGGACTGGTAGGAAAAACAGCAAAAATGTTTATCTTTTGTCTTATTCAAGACTTGTGGTTGACTTAATAGATGGATTTTCAAAAGCAGATTTCTGAATGTGAGCTAACATGAGAAAAAGGTAAAAGAGGGAGCCCCAAAAGAAAGTGTTTTTCAGCAGACACAATGTAGTAATGCTCACTGAATGGCTGCCCACATGCTAGCTGGGTGCCTAATTTGGTTTGATAATGCTCATCTGGAGATGCCAAATAACTTCATATGTCATGTAGTTGGAAGCCATATTCTGTTCTGTTCTGCTATCTGGCATCTGCTGGTAGAAAAATGTTGCAACATGTTTCAATTTAGCTAATGACTCCAGACTCATGGGAATGAAATGTGTGGTGTCTAGCTTCTGGAATGTGCCTAGGCCTAAGAACAGGAACTGTTCTTCTTGGTTGAACCTGGATGATGGCATTGGTTCTGGTATACTCCAGTAGCAGACACTATTAAGTTAGTAGAAAATGACACAACTCCTACTCATGCAAAATGTCTTTTTCTAATAATTTTTGCCATTTTAAAATTCAGGACTAGAAAGTGGTCCTAAAAATGTTCTTAACCTTTTAAAAAGGTATTTGAAGAACTTCTTACATTCTCAGCATCTGAGATATACAGCTATTTCAACAGTATACAAGGAAGGAGAAAAATTTGATAATTTCTTCAGTATTTGATCCTCACCTGCATCAAAATCCCCTGGATCATTATTAAAAGTAGATTTTTCTGGAGGCTTCCCCAGACTCTCTGAATCAGAATCTCTGCTTATTTTATTAAGAGCCCCATATTAAACTTGGAGAACCACTGTCTTAGATTCATTATTACTCAATAAATTCATGCCCATGTGCCCAAATTGGACTGCTTTAGAAGTTATTAATAATAACTACCACACACTGACTACATACCATGTGCTATACACTAAGTAAAGCACTTTATATATAGTTGAGTCATTCTGTTCAACAATCCTAAGAGGTTTTATAGCTCCATTTAATAGGTGATAAACTGTTCAAAGTCACCAGCTAGTGAATGGCCCTGTTCCGGAAACCCAGATCTGATTCTAAAATCTGTGGTCTTAATTGGTATATTCTTTTGCCTTACTTGAATATGAAGTCAACTTAAAATTATTTCAGTCCCACATGAGCAAAATTCCTTCTCCACAAAAGAAGTGACTGATGGAGTACATTACTAAACTTTCAATTTCTGCCCTCCCAGAGCATTTCCTTCTGTTCCCTTAAGTGCATTTTCTTCCTTTCACTTATCTTTAATGATCAAAAATAAGTCTAGGATATAAGAACTACTGAGCTTGGCAGTTTTGGGAGTTTTTCTCATGATCATCAAGCAAATTCTGGAAGTACGTCTCTATCCATTGGGCAGAAAATTTTCCTAATGTACCATTAAGTATAATCTTGATTTTGCAAATTTTCATAGGCTTCGATAAATGTTACCAAAAAGCTATCACAGAACACCAAGACCAATTAGGACTTGCAAGAGAATTTCAGGGGGAAAAACAACATTGCCTAAATTGAAATGTGGTCAGATGGCCAGCAGTTGCCTCAATATCTGCTTTGGTAACCTCAAGATTCATTTGTATATGAATTGCAGGGCCCACACATCTTTCATCAACAGTCCTTGGAGAGCCATGAGTTGAAACTCAAAAACTATGCTGACATCAGTACACTTTGCTGCAGATTACATTGCGTCAGCTCCAAGTGTAGGAAAAATAGCAACATTTAATAAAGGCAGGCAGTCAATCTTGCCAGTCCAGGGCACTAATGCATACTCCACACATACAGGAGCATTAAATGCTAAACTGTAAGACACCACAGAAAGATGCATGTGCTGAGAAGTGGAATGAATTCAACTCATGGCACGGGTAGATGTAGCTGCATTTGAGAAGGTGTAATCATGATTGGAAAAGTATGAATACTGTAAAGTATGCTCGAAAAAAATGTTTAGTAGAATCTAATCAAGTCTGTAGACCAACTTCTGATTTACAAGAGACAAAGACCCTGGCCTGAACTCTTCAAAATGCCAGTGTAACAAGGAAAAAAAAAAAAAAAAGAAGGAACTATTCTACATTAAGGCTAAAGAGTTACAATATCCAAGTACAACATAGGAACCTTGACTGGATCCTGATTCTTTCTTTGCCAGGGGAGTGGAGGAAAAGATATTTTTGGGTCAAATGGGAAAATTTACATGATAGATTTTAAATAGTACAGAATTATTAATTTCTTTCGTTGTGATAATTATATCGTGTTTTGCAGAACTTTATAATTCTTGGGAAATACATGCTGGAAATTTTAGGGCATCTACTTAATATTAGGTGTCTGCAACCTATTCCGAAATGGTTCAATGACAATGAAAATGTGTGTGAGAAGGGATGAAATAAATATGGCAAAATGTTAACAACGTTGGATCTAAGTGAAGGGTATATGACTTTATTGTATTTTTTCAACGTTTTAAATTTTTGATTATTTATTTTAATAAAAAACCTGGGGAGTAGCTCATGTTGGCAAGTCTTCAGAGGGAAAGCCTAAGAAAGGTTGAGTAGTAGGGACTATGCTGAATTTCTGATAAACTGAAGTTCTAAAACACTTTGCTGGCAATATCTTGGGCATCCAGGAGACATCTCAAAATTCAAACTTTCAGTAAATACTTACCAAAATACCATGTGCAGGATAAAATGACAGGAAGATGAACCTGATACAAACCATTCTATTTAGGCATAAACATAGTAGTGAAACTAAGAACATAAGCAGCTCTTATATATAAAATAGAGGTTGTCATATAAGAGGTACTAAGAGTGCTAAGTAGGCTCAGAGAAAATTACTTCCTGCTGGGGAGAATCTGGAAACACAGCTCCAAGGATAACCAGGACATGAATACAGAATCACAAAATGTAGGCGCTTCAGTGATTAACCTAGGAAGAATTGAGTAGTTCATTTTGGCTGGGATATGAGTACTAAGGAAGTAGAAATTAAGAAGGTAGGTTTGCACCCTTGTTGACTGGCTGGGTAAAACCGATTTTCAATTTACCTGAAGGTTCTCCTGGTCTTTTTCCTTTGCAGCTTTAGGCATCCAACCCGGTATCACCAAAATGACTGACAATTTTTTATTCAAGCCTAGAGAAGGAACTACATGAGATAGTGAGTGACAACTCTTGTAAAGCGTCACATATACTAATACTGTGTGTATATATATATTTTTTTTCCACAAGCATTAAATTCTTTAATAAACCGCAGACATGCAGAATTCGGACGTAAAACCTTCATCCAGAACTGCAATCAGTGCTTACAGATCCTCAAGAGAGGAGAAAAAAAGAAAAGGGAGAAAATTCAAAGTATGAAGGAGGCGGGGAAATAAGACTTAGGAGTGTTGCTGCCATGGTGGGGGACCATCCTTTTCCTTTTTAGCTAGGAATGGAAAATGATTTCGTCAAGCTCCCTAATTCTTCGTCCTCCAAAGGTCAGGGGGTGAAAGTACTTAACAGGAACTTGCGGAGGCGTGGTCAGGAGCTGGGAGCGGGAGTTAAGGGCTCCGCCCTGAGGCCCGCGCCCAGGCCCCTCGGGAGAGGGCTGGCTGCAGCTGGGCGAGGGGGCCGGTGGAGCGGCCTCGCCCCACAGAGAGGCGGAGGGAGGGCGGGCCGCCGCCGGCCAGCCCGGAAAGAAAAGCTGCTTCCAGCGGAAGCAACTCAAGGCCCGGCTCGCCTCCGCGGCGCTCTGTCTCCCAGGGACCGTCGGGCCCAGGCCTGCATCACAGGGGGAGGCCCAGGGACACCCACATCACTTCGCGACTCCAGTCGGAATGGGCACTCTCGGGGCCCCGGGGGCGCACGCGGTTCCCACTCTTCCGCCTTGACCCCATTCAGAAGTGCCAAACGCAACTTCCGGGCAGGACAGGGATTTTCGGAGCCCTAAACTCTTGTCCACATAGGTAAGTGACCAGACGTCCCAGCAAACTAAGGGCCAGGATACCTGCTCCCTCCTCGCCCCCATCCCAGGCAGCTAGTCTGGAATGTTAATGAACTTGCCTAACATGGGATGTCTGGTCACCTTTGGTCCCATTATGGGTCTACTTACAGATGCTTCTCTTCCCAGACCGCTTAGCTGTTGCCAGGGCAACGGAGGGATAGGACGAAGGGAAAACTACGTCACGCGGGAGACGGGAGGCCCGTAAACTCCCGTTGCCATTATCAGTTATGGCTGCCTGGGCTTCAACGGTACCTTCCTATTGGGTGTTGTCTCTACCCCGCTGGAGGCTTACTCTGTGACCCGGCGAGCTCGCGGCGCCCAGCGGGCGGGAGAGGGCGTGGAGGAGCCGAGGAGAGGGAAAGGGCGGGGCGAGGAAAGCTGAAGCCCAAGGCTGCTTCTGATTGGGTAGCGTCGCTGGCGCTAGCGCCTCGTTCTGATTGGGCAGCGTCGGTTTCCCTTG